TGAATAATACTATTTTGCTATAGATATAGTACCTCTTTCCTCTGCTTAGCCGATGGAATGTAGTCTAATTGCCAAGTCTGCTGAGGGAATGGTAGAATTTAGGGCTTGTAAGTTTTGTGAGGCTCTTTCTACTTCTAGTTCCCTCTGGCTCCTAAGACTTAGACTTCCACTGATTCCATCTGAAATCTTAAGAGTGGGTGGGTCCCAAATCTTAATCCTTACCTCCTAAGTACTGCGAGATTGTCAGAAATTCCCTTCTGGTTTGTTTTTAAAGTCTTAAGACTTTGTTTCTTATACTCCTAAATTGTGTTTATATTTTAGTAGAAACTAAAGTAAAAATTTCTTTCTACTTTGTTTCTATACTCCTAAACTGTTATATTTTAGTAGCAACTAAAATAAAAGTTAAGTGAAGAGTTGAGATATAGAAGGGATTTTGACTGTAGCGTAATAAAAATGTGAAAAGAATTACTTGGCATTTTCTTACAGTTTAGCAAGAAAATTTATAGATACACCTATCAGTTTTTTTATCTAATTCATGATGACTGTTGATAGAAAAATACACATCCTTTAATAAGTTTGGCAAGTTTTCTTAGATTTTAAAAGGGGATGGAAAATCAAATATTCTTAATAAAGTTTAGATCTGAGCATGCATGGTTTTTTCCTTAGAAATAATGGCAAATGTTAGAATCTCTCATTGATAAATTTGATATAAAATTAAATTTCTACTTTAAAATGTGTATAGAAAAGAGTTGATTTTACAGAATGAAAATATGCAGAAAATTTCTTTTTCGTCCTATGAAGCATTGATGTCTACAAGAATTGATCTTTTACTGTAAATCATTTGAAAATCAGGCTAAAAGAGAAAAGAATTATGGCAGGACTTCATTCAACAGTGAGCTGCAGATTCTTACTCCTGAGAGAAGGGAAACAAGTGAAATGAGCCCTGCCATTAGTCCAGCTTACTGCGTGCAAATATCTTCCAAGTCAAAAGGCAGGAATGGGGGGAGGACAGAGCTTGGTGGTCTTGATAAGTTTAGGCCCGAGATTAGAGAGTCTGGGTTGACTAGAATCTGTGACTCCAAACAGTAAAGAGAAGAAATTGCACCAAGACGGAACTCTGAAGATCTGCAAAGCAAACTTACTAAATCATTGTCTAGATAAAGATCTGTCCATGCAAAAATGAAACTATATGAGGTGGAAAGAACCATTCGAAGGAAGGCCAGATAATTCTTGAAAATGAAATAATATTTGCTTTCCTCCTTGCCAGAGAAGGACTGAGAGTGTAGTGCATTTTCTACTGGCTAAAATGAAGAGACTGTGGAATAAGGAGCTGTAAGTAGAGCCCACAGATGACTGTAGCTTTAGTGAGCTAAAGTAGTCCAAGATCAATGACTGCAAAGAACCTACACACAGGAAAAAGCTATATGAAAGCCTCAAATGAACTAGAGTACTCCAATAATTTTATTGCATTTCAGAAGACAATCCAGTTCTGATGGGATGAAACATCTATCATTAAGCAGCATAAATTTTACATTGTCTGATACCTAATAAAATTACTAGACATACAGAGTTGCAAATAATTAACCCATTTGTCATCCCAGCACTCTGGGAGGCTGAGGCGGAAGGCACAAGTTCAAGCTTAGACTGGCAGTTTAGCAAGACCTTGTCTCAATGGGAAAAAAAAAAAAAGGCTGAGATTGTAGCTGTGTGTGCTCGGGCCCTAGGTTTAATCACCAGCACCACCCGCCCTCCCGCAAAAGAAAGAAAGAAAAAGGGAAGCATTAACAAGGATAAGAATGAAGTGATATATCTACAAGTACTAGCAAATAATGCCATAAGAGTTGCTGTACTGCTTTCTTGATGTTCAGCAGTACAGAGAGGAATGAACATGAGAGAAATGGAAGGTACAAAAAACCCAAGCTGAACTTGGAGAAATGGAAAAGATAGTAAGGGAAAATAGAGTAGACTGGAAGTCATGGTTCATGAGTGCAAAAATACAGTAAACGCAGCTGCTGGACACCATCCAGAGGAAGAGCAGACTCGTGAAAACATGATGTCGTGTCCTCATTTTTCTTATTCACTAGATCTGGTGTTGTGCAGCTTCTGGCTCTTACCCAAAGCCAAAATGACCATGAGAGGTGAACGTTTTGAATCAGTCTGGAACATCAAGGCAGCCACAACAGTGAATTAAGACACTCATGAAAGAGCACTTTCAGAATTCCTCAGAAGTGGCAAGCATGCTGGGATATGTGTGTCTGAAGCTAGGTGGAGTGTTTTCAGGGATATTAATGGCAATGTGACTTTTATTGTAATAAATTTTTAATTTTTTTTTTACCTTTTTATTATGCTGCATGCAGTGTTTAAAATACTGAGATCAGAGATATCTTTAAAGTATTGAAAGATAAAAATTAACCATCTAGAATTTTATATGCAGCCAAAATAATCCTTCAGAAATATAGGAGGAAAATACTTGTTTTTTGTTTTTTTGGGTTTTTTTTTTTTTTTTTTTTTTTTTTTGGTTTTTTTCTGGTACCGGGAATCAAACTCATGACCAAAACTCATGCTTGCCAGGCAAGCGCTGTGCCTCTGAGCTAAATTCCCAGCCCCAAAAATATGTTTTTAAGCTAAAATAAGAGGAAACTACATTAGCAGCAGTCTTGCACTCCAAGAAATTTAAAGTTTTTCAGGCAGTAGGAAAATAGTACTAGGTAGAAATGTAAGGTAGACCTCCAGAAATAGTAAATATGTGGGTAAATAGAAAGTATTTTTGTATTTGTATATAGTATGTATTTAAAAAAATACTGTTTGTCTATAGTATTCAATGTACAGGTAATAAATAATGGGAATTTAAATTTTAAAAAATTAGTTCATTAGCCAGGCATTGTAGCACAAACTCATAATCCCTGCCTCATGGGAGGCTGAGGCAGGAGGGAGAGTCTGGGCAACTAAGTGATTTAGCAAGACCCTGCCTCAATAATAATGATGATGATGATTATGATAACAATTAAGGGCTGGGAATGTAGCTTAGTGCAGAGACCCTGGGTTCAGTCCCTAGTAAAACTTAAAACTATAATGTATTACTGAAGAAATTACAAAAGACCTAAGCAAATGGGATATGCCACATTCAGGAATCAAGAAAACTCATTATTATGTCACTTCACATTGTTCTGTATACTTAATCTACTCTGAAGTAAGCAACCTTTTTAAAAAAAATAACAAATTTATTAAAAATTTACATGAGAATGCAAAACCTACAAATAGAGCAGAGTTGGAAGACTTAACACTACCTGATTTCAAGACCTGCTGTAAAACTGTCGTAATTAAAGAAGTGGTGCTAGTCTAAAAAAATAAGCCGTATAACTCAAAAGGAGAGGCTAGAGATATGTATTGGTGTTGTCCATTGCTTTATAAGAAAGACATCAGAGTGATCACAGTATAAGAACACGTGAAGGCTAGCAGGGGGTGGGGGTGCGCGCCTATAATCCCAGCACTTGGGAGGCTAATGCAGGAGGGTCGCTGAGGCCAGCCTGGGCTCCGCAAGTGAATTCAAGGCCAGCTTGCACTACATGGTGACACAAGTTTCTCTGATCTTGTAGAGTACCCGAAAAAAAGATAATAGGAAGTAGGAAGATAAGTCTTCCTCAAATATGAAGGGGATTAAGAAATGGAAGGAGAGCGGGACAGGAAGACAAGGGGATGAAAAAAGGAATTAAGAGGTGTTATGTATATGTACCAGCTCCACACAAGGGATAGAAACATTCTGTACTGCAAACACGCACTACAAAAAAAAGAATGTATGCAGCCAGCCTTGGTGCTCCAGGCCTGTAACGCACTGAGAGACAGAGGAGTTGCAAATTAGAGCCAACCTGAGTAACTTGGTGACTTAGCAAGACCCTTTCTCAGAATTCTAAAAAAGGGCTAGGGATATAGCTCAGTGCAAAGGCCCTGGGTTCCATTCCCAGTGCCACACACAAGTATGAGACTATCAAAATGAAACCTGATATTCTGTATAATTAACGTATACTAATAAAAACCTGGTGGGATATTTAATAAGGAAACGATTTTCTTTGCAGTAAATGTTTCTGGGATACCTGGGGAGGGGGGAGTAAAACTCAGCTTTTTACACATATACACAAATAAACTCAAAATGGATCTTAGACCAAATATAAATGCTAAAAGTACAAAACATGGACAAGAAAATGGTATAATTATGCTGGGCATTCTGGCATTTTAATGAGCTTAATGCAATTTGAAGATTTTCATAACAAAATTCTGCTTTAAAATGTCAAACTCATAAAAGTGGGGTCAAGATCAAAATGGCAGCAAAGATGATCTCTCAGAATGTTCTACAACTGAAATCATGGTCATTTACCATATTTTCTTCAGTAAAGACGATTGTGGTAATATTGCTACCATAGTTATATGTAATAAAGCAGTGGAAATTACTATTTAAATAGCTTTATTATAATCTTGTATCTTTAAGAGTTAAAGTGACTATCAGTCTTAATGAGTTTTACTTAGTTTTATGTTGTTTTCATCTTTATGAAGGCAAATATGTGTCCCAGAGTGGTATTTATATATTTTGTGCATTTATGAATCATTGTGACTAGATTGCCACTATAGTTTTTTTGAGATAGGGTCTTGTTCTATATTTCAGGTTAGCTTTAAACTCACTGCGTAGCCAAGGTTGGCCTCGGACTCAAGGCAGTCAGTCCTTCTTCCTCAGCTTCCTAAGCGCGGGGATTACAGGCATGTGCCACCACACCTGACCCTCTATTAAGTTTTATAGGTCTATTATTAGGTTTCCACCTACTTTTGGCATTATAAGTGAATTGGTAATACATGGGGCTTCTTAAATATGTCTCCCTCTCTTGATACACAATTGTTCATTTAAAACATATTATGAAATGTTAATTTAGAGGAATTCTAGCCACTAGTTGCATGTTCTAGCCTCCTTATGCATGATTAGTTTATTTTTTTTAATTTTTTTATCATTTTAGTAACAGTGATGATGTTATGTTGATTTCGGCAGAGAGTCCTAATTTGACAGCTCCAGTTACAGCAAGTCCAACAGGTACCTTAAATTGATTAGATTATTATTTATCAAGTTAGAATGCTTGAATAGATTTTTTTTAAATGAAAGATAGAAACTTTTAATAAAAGAGAATTTTGTCTACTTTCAAATAATTACTTGCATGTACATTATTTTGAATCATTTGCTGTGGGCTGTTCGTGTTAGTGATGATTTCTTATTTGCCTTTTTATGAAATTATAGTCTATTTTGTCTTAAAGTTCATCTAACTTTTATTCTTCTGGTTCTTTAAAAAATACTTTCGTTGCTTTTTAAAATTTGTGTCGTATACTTTCTCAAAAATTTTAACTTTGGATTTCCAATGATAAATTTCCCCTCCCTTAAAATAGCTGTCTTGTGTGACCCATAATTTCTGATCAAAAATTCCACATTTTCATGTTTTACTCTTCTGAGCATTTGATCTTAATTTCTGGTAGCTTTTCCTCTGTGTATAAATTATTTCCAGTTTTAAATGAAAAAGCTACAAAAGACAGTAAGCATTTCCTTAAGAGTTCCTACTAATTAAGGAAGAGCTCTCCTCAGTCATGGCAAGCAATCTGTCTTAAAGATACTGGGAATTAAAAAGTGTTGTATTTCTCTGCAATTTATTTTTTAAAATAAAATAATTTCCAGGTAGATTTTTCAAAAAAGCTACTAATGTAGATATAAAGTTCCAGAAAGAAGAATTTTAACCATATTAACTAAAGTAGATTATCAATTTTTGGAATAGGTATTCTATTCAGTTACTTTTTATGATTATATAATTAACTCTTAATTAGCACTTCATTCTTGTGTTTCGGCATTTTACATTACAAAGTTCATAAATAATTAATAGTTTATAAATTATCAAATATATTCATGTTTTAATAATTTTCTTTTAGATTCTAGAACAATTACATCAACAAATTCCAGCAGTTCATCTAATAATATAATTGAAGTTAGGGTAGGTAATAATTATTATCTCAATGTTATTTATTTAAATATGTTACTTCTAGGAACTTTAAATGTTATTGCATGCTGCTTTTGTCATTCGTTCTTTGCCTAGGTTAGCAGGAAGTGGTAGTTAATATCAGCAGTGAACCCTCTCCTCAGCAACTCCTCACCCCAGTTTGTATGTTGCACACAGATTACTCTCTGTTAGCATAACCAGCGTACACACTGAGAAGCAGAAAGCTAATGATAAAGATATTTCATAATCATACTTATTTACCAGTTCATTTAGACTTCCTTCATCTTAGTCTCAGAAACCATGAAGTATTTTATAAGAGCTTATCTTTCTATATTAGAGTTCAATTAAACCATAAGAGACTTAGAAAATAGTCTCCAGCTTCTAAATGTTAATTAGGGCTGTAGGTTTGTGTAGTTAGGTAGAATGCTTGCTTAGCGTGTACAAGGTCCTACATTTCATCCCACACCGAGACAGGCAGGAAGGGATGAAGTAATTTCTTAAAATCATTTGAAATTATAATGGGTTTTATCTTTTAAAACATTTTCTACTGCTGAAACCATACTTTTTTTTTTTTTGAAACAATAACTTTTCAGACTCCAGAGAAGAAATGTGATTTTGTTATTGATTTGACAAAAGAAGGCCTGTGCAACTACAATACAGGTAAAAGGTTTTTAATTCTTTTTTAAGACACTGGGAATGGTAACAACTCAAGTGTTCTGGTCCCACTTAGGAAGTGCGTATTAGTGTATATGTGTCATCGATCTATGTACTTTCATTGTATATGTAGATTCATGTAACTGCCATCTCTTTATAGCTGCACTGACTTCCTGCTCCTCAGTCTCTAATCTTAGGCACCCATTAATCTCTGCTTCATCACTGTAATGGTGTTTCTTCACAAATGCATATAAATGTGATGATGCAGTATATGTCCTTCTGAGATTGGCTTCTGAGCATCTTTCTCTTGAGGATTATCTGAGCTTGTTTGTTTATTTGTTTTTGGTGATACTGGAGTGTAAACCCAGGGCCTTCACACTGAGCCACACACCCAGTCCTTTTTAAATTTTTTTTTTTTTTTAAGACTGTGTCTCAGTTGCAAAGCGACCCAAGATAGGCTGAAATTTTAAGTTTTCCTGCCTCAGTCTCCCAGAATTCTGGGGTTGCAGTCATGCATCACCCCACCCAGCATGTTGATTATATATTAGTAGTATGTTTTTTATCACTAAGTAATAGCCCATGATATGAATGTATCAGTTTGTTTATAGTTATCTTTAGAAAGATAAATTTATCTTGGTTGGGATTGTCATGAATTTTCTCCTTGTAGCACACATTTTTTTCTCGCTTATCACAAGTGGTAGTAGCTAGGAAAATGCATGCAAAAAATGGAACACCAGGGTATGAACATGTTATTTTGTGTATATGATAGGAAACTAGAGAGAATGAGAGACAATGCCCTTTCCATTTAAGCAAAAGGAGGTAGCATACTACTATCTAGGTCTTGGACTCCATGCTAGGGTGTCATTCAGATTTAATGAGTATACCTCCAAGTTCAATAAACTCCAAGCAAGATAAACACCAAGAAAATCATAACACATATCATAATCAACTTCCTGAAATCAGAGATAAAGAAAAAATGAAGATATATGCTGTACAATATCAGTAGAAGAACAGAGAACTGTGCAAGCCAGATGTTTGAGTGGCATCATTAAGAGGCTGGGGGATATCAGAATTCTGGGGGACACAGAATTCTGTAACAGATACATCTTTCAAAAATGGAAGCAAAATTAAGGCTTTTCGATAAGCAAAATGTATTGCCAGCAGGTCTTCACTATCAGAAATAAAAGAAGTGGTCCAGTAAAAGAAAGTGTTACCACATTTAAGGAATAAAACACCATACCGTTTATGATGCGTACATCTTAATGTGCAATAGCAATAGTCCAAAAGGTGGCCTGAGAAATGGAAGTACACGGTCATTATATGAGAGTGAGATAGTGTCCTTAGAAGATAGACTGTAATAAGTTAAAGATACATATGGTAATGCCTAGAGTGGAAGTAGGACTAATGAACCAATAGTGGAGATCAAATGGAATTGTACATATACCCAATCCAAGAGAAGCCACAGAAAAGCAGACAAAGAATAGACAAGATAATTAAATCTGACCATTTTGATAAGTGTAAATGGTCCACATACTCTGTGGAAAAGGATTGTTAGACTAGAAAATAAAACAAGACTTACCTATCTGTTAACTGTAAGAGAAGTATTTTCAGTATAAACATACAAGTTGGTTAAAATTACAAGAATGAAGAAGATAACCAAGTAAAAGCATGGAAATAGTAATCCTAAGAAAGCAGGCATGGCTGTGTTATTATTGGACAAGGAGAGAATAAGGAATGTTACCAGGGATAAGGAAGACTCTTTATGACAATAAAGCAATGTATGCACTTAATAGTAGCTGTTTAAAATGCCTGATGCAAAAATTGATAGGACTAAAATGATAAACAGAAAAATAGACAATTACAGTTGTGTAGGGGATGGCAGCTCTTAAGAGTAGTTTTAGTACAAGCCTCAAATATGTTTTGAGAAGCATCCTGAAGGGGTTATGAAGAGTAAACTTTACCCTGGAATATTTCTTTAAAGGCAAAGAAACCCCCAGGCCTAGATAACCATCTATGACCCTGCCTGGGTTGTTTCATTCTTTCCATGGCCCTAGTTAAACATTGTAACCCTAAAAGAAAATATATGGTTGTAAAAAGGGGGATAAACAGAGCAGGGTACAGAAAGTATGTTAATGTCATTGTGGTTGGGCTCATGACCAGGGCTTTAACTGGCCACACAAACAGTGTGTGGCCACCTGCATCAACAGCTGCAACATGCCATTCTGTTACCATAGAAACCAAAAGTGTATTTAAGATGAAACAAAGACAAGGACAGGGCCCACATTTCCCAACTTGTTAGTCGGAAGGTGTATGGTGGCTGGCCTAATTTCAATAAACTCTGTTTAACCTGAATAAAATCGTTTGAACTTCTGTGGAAGTCAGCCCAGTTGCCCCTACAGTTGAAGATGCCCAAAATCCTTGTCAGTAGTTAAGACAGAGCTGGGCTTGGTGGCACAGGTTTGTAGAGTGCTGCAGCAGGAAGACTATGAATTCAAGCCCAATGTACACAGTTTAGCAACAAGTGAGACCCTATCTCAAAATAAAAAAGGACTGGGGATGTAGCTTGGTACAAAGTTTCTGGATCCAATCTCCAGGACTGACTAGGAAAAACAAATGTAGGCACAAAGCCAGTATGGCTATCGTAGTTTGAGCTATTAATGAGCATAACCTAATTGACATTTATGGAATACTCAACCTAACCCAGGTTTTTTAAGTGCATATGGAGTAAGGGATTAGGTTTGTGGACCATAACATGTATGTATGTTGACAAAAAAAAAAGTAATCTATAACAGGAAGATAGCTGGAAAAATCCTAAACATTTGGAAACAGTCCACATTTTTCAATCTTCTGGAGTTGAAGATATCCAGAGGAAATAAAAGCATTATGTTCCAGAATTTATAGGATGCAGCTAAACAGTGAAGAGGGGGAAATTATTAGCATTAAATGTTTATATTAAAAAACAGAAGGCTTAAAATGAATGGTCTAGGCTTTTGCCATAAAAGCTAAGAAAAAGAAGAGGAAATTAAATATGAAACCAGTAGAGGACACTTCATTGTAGATGAGAGAATGACAGGTAAGCATAAGATATCCTCAACATCATTATCATAGCAAAATGAGAAAGATATTGTAAAAGTAGAGTAGCCAAATGAAAGCCCCTGAAAATAAGGTGTTGGTGGAATTGGGGAGCAACTTCACATTTTTACACTCTCAAGAACGTAAAATGGTAAAACCAGTAAAGAAATAATTTGACAGTTTCTTAAAACATTAAGCTGAACCTGGTGTTGCACACCTATAATCCCAGAACTCTGGTAATCTGAGGCAGGTTTGCAAATTCAAGCCCATCCCGGGAACTAGCAGTACCCTGTATCTTAGTTACTTTTTCGTTGCTGGGGCAAAATACCCAACACGTAACAACTTCTAGGAGGAAAGGTTTATTTTAGCACATAGTTTGTAGAGGTTTCCGTCTAGTTGGCTGGCTCTAAAGTCAGAGCAGCATGACAGCAGATCAACAGTCCCTGGTGGGGCAAGCAAAAAGCAACCAACTGCAAACCTTACCTTTTTATTCCATTCAGGCTACTGGTGGACTTTCTCATTATCCATACCTTGAACTACGCTAAGCTAATCATAATTTAGTTATCACACACCTTTAATCACTACTCACACCCCTAGATCCAGCCACATCCAAAAAGTACCACCTATGAGTGCATGAGACTTGTAGGGTACATCTAGATACAATCCATAACACCCTGTCTCAAAAAAAATGTTTTTTTTTTTATTAACTGATTTGTAGTTCAGTGTAAAGACCTTGGGTTCAATTCCTGTAACACCTCCCAAAAATATTATATTATTATTATGTAACTCTTAATTCATACTTTCATATATTTACACAAGGGAAATTATAACCTACATCCACACAGACCTTTACACAAGTGATCATAGCTCTAGTCATAATAGCCCAGAACAGCCCAACTGTCCATCAACAGATGAATAGATAACTATATCCATATTTCATATGCTTAAACATTCTACAAAAAAAATAGACAAAATATTGATACGTACAAGTAATGTATAAATCTCAGAAATATGCTGGGCAAAAGAATCGTGTACCCTAATCTATTTGGGGTTCAGAGGTAGGGATCAAACCCAGGCATGCTAGATAAGCACTGTACAACTGAGTTATACCCCTCGCTCTAAATACAGTCTTTCATGACAACGAACCAGTGGTCTTATGGGCACAGAGATAAGAAAGAATGATAGAAGGGATTCTTAAAGACTTTTCGGTGATAATGATTTTCTGTGTCTTGATTTTAGTGATGATTTCACAGATGTACGCATTTGTCAAAAGTTAATGAGAACTACACACTTAGAATGGGTACATTTTGTGTAAATTATATCTCTGAAGAGATCCTTTCAATAGTACAAATAACATAAAATTAACCTTTGTAATATTAATATCAGCGATGTGTGTGTTCACGTGTGCATGCACATGCAAGCTGAGGATCTGAAGAGCAGATACCATTGGTTACATAAAAGCATAATTTTTGCCCAGCAGTTTAATAAAGAACCCTAAAATAATAGGATACTGGCTGCTATAGTTTGAGAACACAAAGCACTGAAATCACCATTACATATTTTTGTATAGATAAGGGTAAAAGCTGGAAAGTATAAAACATTGGCATCTCTAAGGATATAAACATCAATTGGGTTGAGATAGAAGTCCTGATTTTCTCTTACTAACATAAAATTGAGTTTCTCTTGGCCTGTTTTAATTTGCCAAGAGCATGTTGACTTACTATCTTGAAATAAAACTTGTTATTTTTTTATATCTGTTTACTTCAAAATTCAAAGGAAGTTGTATTACCTCTTATGATGTTAATTTGCATTTCATAGTTTTACAGATCCAGTTCTAATTAATGAAACCAGTATGACATTGTTGTACAACTCCTTTAGAATTAAAACCATTATCTCTTTAAAAAAATGCCCACCTCCCCAAGCAGGGAGTGGAACTCAGCCTCAGCGCACTAGGCAAGTATGCATGTGCTGGCCCTACCGCTGAGCTACACCTCTGGTACACCTCTGACCCTAAACGGTGTTTCAATAAGTAAAAATAAAGTCACTAATAAATGAACTTTAACACACAGTGCAGAATTTTGATTATCCTTGTAAATCAAAAGAAAACTACAAATAAATGTCATTGGGGGATTCATCAAGTTTATTACATAGTTACGTCACTGGAAACACAACAGACCTAAAATGATTTTTACCTTTTAGCTATCTAAACTCTGGAACTTCTAGATATCCAGCCCTCATCCTTTCCATGAACCCCCTTTTCTTAACCATCCCGTGTATACTCTTACCAGTTGTTTTTGAACCATTCTCACCCCATCTCCCTCCCTTTGTCTTTCCTCATTTCTTTTTTCCCACAGTCTTTCTCATTCCTCCCATTTCTTTCTAGTCCACAGTTTATACCTGATCCCCTTCTGGTGAACATAAACTTCACCACTGATAGCGATTTTTCTAATCCTAGCCTGTGGGGTTTTTATTTTTATTATGGATTCTCAGGCCCTGTGGATCTGATGTATTTATGTGATTGTATGTGGCTTTGTGTTTGCAGACATCTTTATTGGTCTAACAAGGAAGACTGTCTCTGAGTTGCTGAGCAGGGACCCCCTCCCCCCTGAGTGAATGTACCTGGTTCCCAGGTGCATAGTGATGGAGGGGGTTTCCCTGAAGAGGGCATTTTGTTACCTTAAAAGAAAATTTTCCACGTGTAGAACTTTTATCAAAAGTATGTCTCCATATTTCAGTTTTGTAATTTTAATTCATAAGATCTAAACTACTTGCTAAAAGGCCATAAAATTGATTAATGCAGATAAACTATTTTATTTTTTTGCAGTGCTGAGAATCAAACTCAAGGCCTCACACATACTAGACAAGTGTGTTACTATGGAGCTAAACCCCCAGCCCTAAATCTTACTTCTTCTCCTTATGTTCACAGAAAGTCCACCGTTCACCCTGGAATCACCTTCTAAGCCTGCTTTAAACTCAAAAGAAATAACCCCAGTGGCAGAAAATGTAACTGAGGTACTAACACGAAGTGCTCTGTAAGGACATTCATTCCAAACTGAGAGGGAAGTAACTTTACTTGTAAAAAAACTTGTGGTTTGTCTTTAGTGCTTTTTAAAATGTACTATTGTTAACCTGTTTATTTACACAATTAATTAAAATAATTAAATTTTCCAGAAGCTGTAGAAACTAAAACAAGCACATTTTTTGATCTAACAATTTAAGCCATCGTTGATGAGGGTGGAGGGAAGTGGATGCTGTCCCACGCTCACCCTTTGCATAAACGAGTGTCCTGTTGGGTACGTGTGCTGCCAGAACGAGCATGAGTGCACTGCTGCGGAGCACACCAGAGTGTCTGCGAGCTGCCCTGTTCTGGGCTCACGAACTTCTAGAGTGTAGAAATCTTAACTCCCAAAGAACTTCTTGCTTAAAACATCCGGATGCAACCTCACATATTCTTGAAATATCCTATTTTTATTTTGATAATAGGATCGAAGAATAGGAAATCTTTACATAGCTGCAGCTGACCATGTTGAAACAATCAAACCGGTTTCCTAAGGTTTTTTTGCATATGTGTTTTTAGGATTTGGATTCCTTTGAGCACCTGCCACCTCTCCCAGAACCATCATCGCCACTGCCTGAACTCCTTTACGGGGACACGCTCCCTCCCCAGAAGCCCGAGCTGAAAGTGAAGTGGGTGCTGAGACCCATGGGCATCGCCCTAACCTGGAACATCACCAAGATCGACCCCAGGTGTGCTCCTGTGGAAAGCTACCACCTCTTCCTGTGCCATGAGAATGCCAATAATAAGTTGATTTGGAAGAAAATCGGAGAAATTAAAGCTTTACCACTCCCAATGGCCTGTACTTTATCAGAATTTTTTGCTTCCAATAGATACTATTTTGCTGTCCAGTCAAAAGACATTTTTGGGCGTTATGGACCATTTTGTGACGTAAAATCAGTCCCTGGTTTTTGTGATAACTTGACCTAAAAGTCTTCAGGAATTATATGTTGTATATGAAATATTCTGTTTTTCGTATTTGAGTTGTTCACATTACTCTTAACACTATTTACCATTTCACAAGGTCAGATTGTGAACCCTTTGGGGACAGTCCTCTTCCTTTTACTGTAATTAGCTTGTAGTTTCATGAATTTCTGACTTGCTTGAACTTCCAATGTGTGTGTTCTCAAACATACTGTCGTGGGCCTATGTTGCTAAGGTGTCTGGGATACAAGCAGCGATTTTGTCTTCTGTCAACAGTCAGCTTTGGTGACCTGCTTGTGGTCAGTGTAGCTGTAAGAAAAATTGTCCCTTAAAGTCTTCACATTCTGTTAGAATTCTAGGTAGGCTACGGACCTGTGCCCCTCTTTTTTATTTATTTTAGTTTACTTTATGTCATGCATTTGGAGAAGTAGTCTAAAATTTTTGCTTAAGACTGCTTGTGTGCTTATGTATGAAATGTGTTAAACATTGTGTGCTGTGTACACAAAAACATACACTATCTCATAAAAACACTGTTCGATCTGGATTTAAGTTGTAGTTGTCTGCTGTCTTTGCACTTGTTTTGGCTGCCATCAAGGACTCAAAATATAACACTGAAAGGTTCTAATGGACTAGTCTTGCAGACTGCTTCCTTGGGGGAATACCAAGGTAAAGCTCAGGAAACCGGTTTGAGAATTGTAAGGGCCCAAGGGAGAAGGACGTTGTGGATGGCTAATAACTGGAATGTTACAAAAATAGAAAAATCACTGTTTGAAAGTGGGGTGTTCTTTCCTGATACATAGTAAAAGTTGTGAACTTTAAAAATGAACAGTAAATGGTTTTCCTAGCATTTTGTGAATGTGTTCACATCTAGAGTCATGAATAAGGCTATTCTTTTGCCCGCCTTCCGTGTCTCTACAGAACATGTCTGAAAGAGCCAGATTCTGAAACACAGACAAGGTGTTCATCCTGAGGTGAGGTACACGAGACCTTAACTCACTAAGTGAAGGCCAGCGACTTGACTCTATGACCAGATTCTGGAACCCCTCACCAACAGAAACTACACTCACCCCAGCGGGCCACATGGACAAGTTCAAAGCAATGAGCTTGTACGTTAGCAGGATAAGAGGGGGCTGACAGCAGACATCTGAGAGGGGATGGCTCACAGTATTAATCCTTACCTTTCAAGGAGTAAGAATAATGTTCTCAACTGCCAGGTACTAATGACACCAGAAAATAGCTGGCCTGAGGCAGAGTGCTCCCCTCCTGCACAGTCAGTGCAGAGAATTAGCTCAGCCTAGAAAGGCTTCCTGCACCTGTAGTATGGTGGGAAGCCTTTATTCTTCCATTGAGCAGTAGGACCACATTGGTGAGCTGAACACTGAATATGCTGAGAAAAGTTGGTGAGTAGCTCATGGAATCAGATTCAGGCTTGGGAAACAGGCTGGACAGGTGCATGTTTTGCAATAACTCCACGAGGTTTCAGACCTGGGATAGTTTTATACAATTCATATTTTAACAAGACATGATGACACGAGATGTTTTATGCCATTTTAAAGATGGTTGCTTAGACGCCTTCACCAAGGCCATAGAAACCCAACAAATAAGTTGAAGCAAGATTCAAACCCTGCTCTAGTTCCTCGGCTCAGGATGGGTCCACCATCTTTACTGCCTGAGGGATTGGATGGATCCAACAGAATTCACACAGTTCTTGACTGCCTTGCTATGTGGAAATCGAGAAACTCCAGGAAAACAAACCCTCTGGCATTTTTGTCTTCAATGAGAGGTGTACTCAGCCATTCTGAGACTCAGGGTGGGTGTGATGGTACTTTTCTGTGTCCCTATACCTAAGCTGTGGCCACCTCTCCAGGATTTTCACGGACCTGCAGCTCTAGCAGCTGCTGTAAGAGCTGCCCTCAGCCTACCCATGTAACAGGATTGTCACTGCTCTGTGCTTTCCCCGCAGTCCACTGTGCTGCTGATGGAGTGAGATGCGGACCTGAATCCAGCTTCTCCCTACTCATCCGCAGCAGCCTTCCTCTTGCTGCCTGGCTGCCCTGTGGTGACTCCAGCCTCCCCACAGGACACACAGGAGCAGTGTACATGGCCGTCAGCTCACAGGGCCATGTGTAACGCCACAAGGAATTCCTGGCTCTAGCTTCATTGGTTCCCTTGCTGACAGGAAGAGCCCCCTGTCTCTGGGGGATTGAGCGGGGCAGTAGATTGCCAGGCTATCCTGTAAGCACCCTTTCTCACCCTGAAAGCCAGTCCCATCACTGAAATGTGGCTTAGCAACTCATTTCTTTCTCACTGTGCAAAGTGAAGGCAGTACTGCCCTGCGGTTTATAGCAGCCTGCCTGCTTACCTCTGCTGTCCCTCTTCTTTCTCCCATTCTCACTCTCTTTCCTTGTTTAACTGGTTCTGCCAGTGAGACTCAGGGCCCTGATGAAAGGCCATCTTGTAAGGAAGACGAACATAGTAAATTCTATCATTTTGTGTCTCAACATCCAACAGAAAAGTAAGTTGGAGTTTCTCAGGCCAGAGCTTCCTAAACTTTGCTTCTGGTCCCAGTTCTCCACCTCCTACCAGTGGCCCGCGGTGGCCCCTTCAGACAGCTGTCCTCTGCAGCCACCACCTACAGTTGCTATGGAGTAAATATTCAACCCCCTTGGGTCCCCCTAGTGGGGGCTTCCATCACCACGTGGTCTCTACCAATGTACTGCAGGGACCACCTCTTTCTTGGTAACAGCACGATCCCATGGAACTTACTCGTTCACTTGCTCTAAACTCACAAATAGACCTCCTGAAGGGAACCTCTTCAATACCTGGATCCCCATAAAGGCTTCAGTTCCATTTCTTTTGGATCTTCCCAACAGCCCTGCTAGGCACCCCTCTCAGATCCATGAGTAATAAAGTGCTTCTGTATATTACATACTTCACTGTGATGCCTCTCTGTGCCTCACCTGACAGATACCCCTGAATCTAACTTCCCAACGAGGGTTCTCTTGGTAGGAAACGAATCAGGTCACATTAGAGCTACCAGGCAACCTACCAGGATAAACAAGGTTCCTGTGAGAGGAACACCATGTCAGCTTTTAATTGCTCTAACAAAATACCTTCGATAACCAACTTTAAAGAGAAAAGGATTATCTTGGCTTTTGGTTCCGGAGGTTTCAGTCCATGGCCTATTGACCCCATTGTTTTGGAGCCATGGTGGGCAGTACACCATGCTAGAAGTATTGGTAGAGAAGGCTACTCACCTTATGGTAGTCAGAAAGCCAAGAGAGAAACAGGAAAGGGCTCAGCCCCATATATCCCCTTCAAAGGTGCACCCCAGTATCTCACTCCTACTCAGCCCCACCACCTCCCCCTAGCCCCACAGCTAGTGGCCATGCCTTCAACACTTGGGCAAAGTCTCACATGAAAAGTACACTACAGAGACCCACGGGGCCTACCTGGCCAGGCCTACAGTTTATAGCCACCCTTTGGAGAAACCAAGACCAAATTAAAAGAAAATTACAATGAGATAATATAGTAATACAAAAGACAAAAAACAAAAAAATAAAGGCAAAAGTAGAAAGCAGGGACTGAAGGGGATTAGAAATACCCTATTGCCAAACTACTGATTTTGGTTTTTTTGTTTTTTGTTTTTTGTTTTTCTTTTTTTTGTTTTTGTTTTTCTCCGGTACCGGGAACCGAACTCACAACCTTGCGCTTGCCAGGCAGGCGCTTTGCCGCTGAGCTAAATCCCCAGCCCCCAAACTACTGATTTACTGAGGGTAAGAGAATCACTCAGAGATGGCCATGGAGATCGAAAAATTCCTTTAAAAAATCAAACTGTGTGATCATATTCCCAGTAGAAAATTACAAAGCACTAAGAAATCAAAAAATCTGTTTCCCAACTTGCTCTGTGGAGGAGATGATCACTCTGGTGTATGTCCCAGTAGGCCTTTATCAATGCGTTCATATCTGTAGGATCCTGAAAAATTGTTCCCAAGGCCCCACCAGCCCACACTTCCACCAACAGAGTATGGAGTATGCGCCCCATCCCTATACTGGTCTTTTGCTGTCACTGGGGCACGTTTTTAAAGAAATTGTATATCTCCTCATAATTTCAATTGACGTGATGATTGTACATATGTATGGAGTACCGTGTGAAAATTCAATGCAGGCATACAGTGAACAATGATCAAATCAGGGCACTTAGCATTTCCCTCTCCTTAAACACGTATTTCTTTTGTTGGAACACTTGAATGCCTCTCTTCTAGTTCTTCACGAAATATCAAATTTCTGTAAACTATAGTCATCCATTATGTTGTAGAACTTACTTCTCCTAACTGTATTTTGCTACCTATTACCTGACCCCCTTTTTTTTTTTTTTTGTTTTTTTTCCAGTACCGGGAATCAAACTTACGACCTTGTGCTTGCCAGGCAGGCGCTGTGCCACTGAGCTAAATCCCCAGCCCCTCTGACCTCCTTTTAACCTCCCTCCATCCTACCCTCCCCAGCCTGTAGATATGGTATTCTACTCTCTACCTTTATGAAGTTGCCCTTTTTAGCTTCCATATATGACTGAGAACATCTCTAGACTGATCTTACAGACTACTGTTGGTAAGTTGGGAGTCACAGGTGACTAGGAAAAAAATGTTTGGATTGGAACAAAATCTGCTTTCCAGTTTTCCAGGTATTCATTTAATGTATAGCTCTGAGTAGGTGGCTTTACCTTTCTGAATGTGTTTCCTCAACTAAAATGAGATTTACTCAGATCACCAAAGTCTCTTTAGTTCAGAACCCAGATTCCCACATACATGCCAGGTGTGAGGGCACATGCCTGTAATCCCAGCGCTCTGGGAGGATCACAAGTTCAAGCGTAACCCAAGCAAACTTTGGTTTTTGGTTAGTGACTTAGTGAGACCCTGTCTCAAAAAATAAAAATAGGGCTGAGACTGTAGCTCACTGTGAAGGTCTGGAGCACCTGGGGGGAGGGGGAATCCCAAACATAAATTATATCAGAGTTGGAGGCTCTGAGCATGACTTAGGAGATTTGAGTGAGGTTCTTACGATCTGTTTTACCATTGTCTTATTTCAGGTCACTGTAATGGATTCTGTGAATGTCTATTATTGCACAATTGTCTATTATTGTGAATGTCTATTACTTTTTCTCTTTTTTTATGTTTATTACTCTCTTTGTCTGCTTTTTCTCCTGCCCTTCCTTCTGTTGAAAATCTGCTTCTCTGACAGTGACTTGATCATTTTTCTGTCCTTTTAGTAACTTTCCTCAAATGTTAATATTCAAGTGTATTACTTTAAAATTTTTCATTATTGAAATTTCCAAACATGTATAAAAGCAGAAAGAGTAGTATAATAAAATCCCCTGGATCTGTCAAATAAAAAACAAATCTGTTCTTAGCTGAGGAGAGAGTTTATTCAAAGAGTCTTATTGCTATAGGGAGACAACTGCCATCTCAAAGTCTGCCAGTGGCTTGGAAAGAAGGCTAAAGGGTTTTCTTTCATGGGGAGAAGCATAGTACATCTGCAAATAACTGGTCATGGGGAGTGAGGTGATAGAACTCTTGAACAGGAAAGCTTTCAACCTGTAGATTTTTGCGAGGGTCTGTGAAGGGGAAAGGGAGATTCCACAGTCCATTGCTTGGTTAAGGTTCTCACTTAAATTCAAGGGCAGACCAATGTTCAGAGGCTGGGAAAAGCGAGATGCCTGACTAAAATATGGGCAGGTCACACTGGCCACGGTGGCCTATAATCCCAGCAGTTAGAAGGCTGAGGAAGGAAGGTTGCCACAAATTCAAGGCCAGCCTAAAATACATAGTGAGACCTTGTCTGAAACAA